CTCTTGACTATTCCCCGTATCCCTGAGCTATGACCACTCACTCAGCTACTTGCAGACACACATTTCTGCAAACCAATGCAAAACGAGTCCCCTTCAACGTCAAAGGCCCATGTAAGCCAAACAAGAAGGGAGCAGAAAGGAGAAGCCGGTGCTCAAACCACTCCTTTTTTTTTTTAAGCGCAGTTCCAGATTTGCCCATCCCACTTTTTTTTCAATTAACATATAATGTATTATTGGTTTCAGAAGTACAGGTCTGTGATTCATCAGTCTTATATAATACTCAGTGCTCATTACATCACATGCCCTCCTTAATGCCCATCACCCACCCACCCCACTTCCTATCAGGCACATGGCAGTGCTCATTCTCGCTCTTATCAGTCCACACTAATTTCTGCCTCTTAATGTTGACCTGGCCTTCCTGGCCATCACTTACTAAGTAAAATCTGAGACATCGTTTGTATCACTGGACTTGAGACAGCCTGGGGCCCATTTCCAGCACAGACTCGGGGATCCTAGAATGGAGCCCTTGATGTCCGTTTTGGGCCCCACTGCTGTTATATGATTTCACGAAACTCGCCATCATCACACTTTTCCACTTGCCACACCTTGGAAATCCCTTTCTCTTCAGTCTCCAAAACACCGGTTTTCCCACCAGAGAAGATACAGGGGAAGTAGCAAGCTTAAAAGGCAGCCTTACCCAATTCAAGATACGCATTAACCACATATGCTATTGCAAATATAACCTTCTCTTGTTCAAGCCAGGAATGGGATCTGGTTCTCAGGAGCGAATTCACTCATCTCCATTTCACTTCATTTCCCATTCACAAAGCCACAGCTGAGCGTGAATGCAGATGCAAGAGTCTTCTTCCCAACCGGCCCTGTTTTCATCTCTCCCTCCACTCAGGGCGCTGGAAATTTGGCAAGTCCTCACTTACTTTAATCAGAATGGTACTTTCACCTCTCTCATACCTGGCGTGATGTCAGACCTTGATTTTCTGGATAAAAAGCAGCATAAGAGAAGACAGGCTGGGAAGGTAGAAGCCTGAGTGGTGTGTAAACCAGCTGCTCAGGGAGAGTCTGAGGTGGGTTACCTGCACAGAGGCTTCTCCTGGCAGATCCTTGACTGCCTCACTGTAGCAGCAACTACGACTTACTTCCTGTGATCTCACTGCAGGCTGGGGGAGGGCTGGGGGTCGGGGGGGGGCTTAAAACAGACCCCCACCCCTCACAACCCACGTGGTAGGTATGGTTATCCTTGTGTCACATAGAAGATAGAAATGATGGCATGGTGAGGTGCAGTGGCTTGCCCAAGACACACAACTAGCAAGTGGAAGAGTGATTGGAACATGGGCCTTTGGACCCCAAAGGTCATGCTCTTTTCAGAAAACCCTACACTACTTCTCTGATCAAGAGATGCTTGACCCCTGGTGCCACAGGTATATCCACCAGGGCAAAACTGAGGGGACAAGAAGGAGTGCTGAGCTCAGCACTGGTTATGGTTAAGCTTAGGCACGGACAGTTGGCATTCCTCAGCCCTGGGCCTGGCATACAGAGGGAATATGTGTGTGCCTCTTCTGTCATGCCATCAAAGCCTTGCCTCCCCCTTCACCTGCTAACATGTGAGGCATGGCCCCGGGGGCCCCTACAGAGGGCAAAGCTGCCATTCAGGCCACAACCCCAAAGAATGTAAAAAATGGACAACGCCACCAAGGATGCCCATTGACAAGCACAGCCTTTAGGCCCTGACCAACAGCATGGTGGTGGAAAGTCTGTCAGTGATGGCAAGGTAGACCTAGCGCGGAATGAACTCAAGGGGTTAGAGCTTGTGTGACCTTCAGTTTTCACAGGGATGAAAACAACACACACACACACAAATAAACAAATGAGACAAATAAAACCAGAAAAAGCAATGTCAATATTCGGGTTGTGATATTTACTACAGTTTTTTAAGTTGTTACCATTAGGGAAAACTGGGTGAAGGGTACACAGGAACACGATTAGTTCTTACAAATGCATGTTAAGTCTACAATCATCTCAGTAAAAATGTCAGTTACAAAACAAGAATCAAAACAAAAACTTCAAACACAACAAAACAATCTCCAACAGTGGAGCTGATGATTTTTAGCCTTCCAGGCTACCACGGGAATGAAGTGAGATAATATTAGTCTGACCTAAGAGCTCGGCTGAGCTCACGCTCCTTGCCCTGCCTCCCCGTCAGTTGTAAGCAGGACATTTCTGATTATGGGTGAACAACTCAGAGCCAAGTCAACATAAATTGTAATGCTCTAAAAAAAGAAATCATGCCCTCTTTATTCCTGAAGAGTCTCAAGCACACATTTGGCACTCATCAGACTGTGCACAATGACTAATAACCTTCACCAGTGGTTTCGTTTCAGCTCTGGGTAATTTTTCCCCCCAGATAGGCATAGCTGTGGTCCTTCTCCCTATGCACAATTAAGCTGGGTCCATAAATACACACTTTACAGTAAGGCCACTACCCTGGAATTTGGCTGAAAAATAGGGATATTGTTTGGGAAAATTATCTTTCTAAGAAGCACCCATAGTTTTGGCTTTCAAGTTCTTTGAAGTTTTAAAATGTAGCCTGCGACCTTGAGTTTGTGTTAAAATCCCTGAAACATATCAAGGAGTCATGTGATCTTTTGGGGGAATAAATTCATTACAAATACTGTTCTGTATCATTATGAGTGAATGAAAACTCATGTCTCCTGCATTTTTTAGCACCATTTGAGGCATCTGGGAAACTTGCAGGGTCTTTTAGGAAAATGTGCTGGATCAGTAAATTCTCCCTTGCTCTTCTGCCACTCTTTCTGACAGACTCGCCCACGTAATTATCTCTCTTCGAGGACTCCTTGCGGGTAGCATTTGAAAACTAAAAATTTCACTCGGGGACTCTTCTGTGCCAAAAAAGCAAAAATAGAAAACAGCCTTCAAAGTGGAGAAAGACCTGTTTCTCCTTGCCCTCCTCCCTTTATTTTTTTTTTCCTCCTCCCTTTATTTAAGGCACTAATGCATCTTGAATTCAAATGTACTTTTCTCTGAAAAGTATGCCAAATACCTTTTAGCAAAACTTTTACAGACCATGGACACAGACACAGACACAGAACCTTCCAGCTGGAAGGGACTTCAGAGACCATCTCAGATTGGTTCCACACATGGGGGAAGGGCCGACAGCCCACCTTGTCTGTTCCCTCATTTTAAAATGATGCCCAGATGCTTTAAGTGATTTGCTCAAGGTCATCAGGATTTGCACTCAGGCCTCTTGACCTCCACCACACCACGCTGTTTCTTCCAAAAATTACCTCTGCCTTCCCTGCCCCTTCCATCTCTGCCCCAAAAAGGAGAGCGGGAGGTGGAGGGAGGGGGTAAAGATCCATTAAAAAGTCATAATTAATCATAACCAAGGCATGCATTAAGTAAATAAACATAAACACCTCCTTGGTATGTGCCCCATGCTTCATGATGCTTCTCACTGTATGGTAACAATGACTAGAAGAGCAAGAGAAGTTTTGGAGTAGCCAGGAATCAGGACTGCTCTCACAGGCCAGGTCTCTAGCTGCAGAGGGCTGCAGTCTGTAACTATCTAATGACGCTGGATGGTTTTAGCAAGTTCACAGCCTGAGCAGTACATCACAGCACTAAATATCTTTTGTGAAACGCAGAGAAATGTAGTGTAATTTTCAAAATATCAGTCTGTCTCTCTCTCTCTCTCTCTCTGGGGACACTAGGTCCTTAAAGCATAAAGAACACCATCCTTTGCTCCCCCTCTCCATTTATTTAGTGTTGATTCCTGACTTGCCAACATTAACTAGCTGTTTCTAGACAAGTCAATCAGGAAGCTTTCATCATCTCCCCCACCACCCCAGCATATCATCTTAAAATTAATTCAAGAACACAGAAGTCCCGAAGATGGCACTGGATTAAGTTGTCACACGAAACAACAGAAAGTTAAAATTCTCAAGCAAATGCACAATCGCCGTTAACATGGGCCGAAATAAGAGGCAAAGGACTGTGGCTACTTTGGAGGCTCATCATATACGGACTGTAAAAGCCCCAGTCTAGTCTCAATAATAAACGCAGTCGCACACCTCTTCATACTCAGCATGCCACACCAAATCATTCTCCGGGCATTTACAAGTCACCAGTTACACTCAGAAAGCCACTCCCCACTCCCACCGTCACTTCACTTCGACCTTTTATGAAAAGACAACCGTTTTGAGCCATTTAAGAAAGAAAGAGAGAGAGAGAGAGAGAGAATCCTGGTGGAAAATAATACACAGCTGTGATAATATCATGTTTTTTTAAAATACCATAATATAGTTTTACTTTTAATAATAAAAGATAAAAAAGGGGCGTCTGTGAATAATTAGAGACTGCAGTCTGAAGCCAGTTACAGTCACTGCAATTGATAATAAACTGAAAACCCCTTGAGAGCAGGTAAATGCTTTGCAACCCTGACCCCCTTGCTCTCACATTACTTAACTACCCTGCGGTTCTTGCATTACATCACCATTCAAGCGATTGGTTCCTGCATTTTAACTCTCTCCCTGTCTCCTCTGATTAGGAGCGACACCGCAGCAAAGAAACTTCGCCCGAGTTTGCACTTTCTCGCTTCGCTTTTTATTTGTGGCCTCTTTGCTCCTGTCGCGCTCTAGCTTGCTCCGTTTTTGTTTTTTGTTTTTTGGTTTGGTTTTTTTTTTTTTTTTTGCCCAGCCCCGGCCTCGGTTCAACTCCTTCAGGTCGCTGTGCTAGCACAAAAAGTCTTATCAAACTGAAAAGAAACGCGTCGTCGGGACCAGAAGAGGAGAGGAGGGGCTGGGGAAAGAGGAGAGGGAAGACGAGGAGAAACAAAGACGGGCAGAAAAGGGAGAAAGGGAAGGAAAAAAAGAGGAGGAGGAGGAAGACTGGAGAGAAGAAGGCGGTAGGGGCAAAAAAAAAATTCTACAAAATCAGGAAAAAAGAAAATAAAATTAAAAACAAACCTCATGGACATCACTGAGGCTGAATTCCCTCCTGAGGTGCAGAACATGAGAGCTCTGGAATGAGTGTGTGTAGAATTTGAGCCAAAGCTTAACTAGCCTGAGTGAGTCATATCCTTCCCACTTGATTCCAGGCCAAGCGATGATGTAATGCGCTGGCCCTTCTCTTGCGCCTAGCTCTGGCTCTCTCCCTCCGGCTCGCTCACTTGCTCGCTCTTTCTCCTGGGCTCGCCCTCCTCCCCCTTCTCCTTTTTAGCTCAGTGCTGGTGAAGTCACCATTTAAATCTGGCAGAACTGAAGCAAAAACTTCAATGTAACCAAAACAGCCCCAGGCTGAGTTCCAGACTCGGGGAGCCTTAGTGGTGCAATTGCCCTTAGAAACGAGTAAACAGAGGGGAAACAGTGCCGCCTGCGGATGGCCCATCAGCTGCCTCCGACCCAGAGAGGGACCAGGGGTTCTGTGGGCAGGGATCCACTGGTTCCGATTTTTTTTTTTTTAAAATATGCTGGTTTAAAAAAAAAAAAAAAAAAGAGTCCCTGTGTTCAGAAATAGGAGGGGAGGCACAAGTGGAGGTGAAGTCCCAGTGGGGTGACCGACCAGGTTGGGACGATGGGGTTTGAACAACCGAGACAGGTCCCCAGCCCAGGCTTTCCTTCAGAACCTGGTGACACGGTCTCCATTGCTCAAGGCTCTTTTTTTTTTCCTGGAGCTGGATGGGATTTTCTGTCGCTGGATGCCAACCACCGGCCCTCCAGAGATTTCTCACATTTGACCTCCCTGTCAGCAAGGGCAAACCCACTTCAGGGCCAAACACACACCTGCGTCTGAAGCCATCAAGAACTGGGCAATCACAGTGGCTTCTCTCCTCCCCCCCCCCCACCGTTGGTCACTCCTTTATGGGCGGAAGGGAAAAGGCCCCTAGCCTCAAAACATGAAGCTTGACTTTCTGAGATTAGCACTCCACTCTCAGGTGAGCTGTCCAAAGAAAAGGGAATTAAAATATGTCCGTCCTCAAAACGAATGACAAGTTATCCGTTCCTCTACCTGCTGGGGGTGGGGTTAGGGGTACCAGTGCAGGTGGGGCTGTCTGTGAGTTTAAAAGGATACAGGGAGAACAAACAGTATGTGTGTCTCTCCTTTAATTACAGAGTAAGGAAAACCAGCCTGGGGTGGTGGTGGTGGGGAGTCAAACATCATCCTTCACCAACAGCAGTGAAACCCTTTTAACTGCAGATTCTACCCCTCACTTCACACTTCTGCTCAGGACTTTACCTAGAACAGTCCAGACACTTATTGTGCTCTTAGCCCGGCTTTTTAACCCTACCTTCTCTCCCTTTAATCTTCCCCTCATCATTAAATGCCTCCTTAAAAAAGAAAAAAAAAAGTAATTTTCAAAAAATGGGAAGTTCACTAGAATTTTTTTTTTTTAATACCACAAAAGCAGAAGAAAGGCGTGGAGTTGCAAGGTTTTGTTTCGTTTTCAAAAATAATCATAGCTTTTGCCAAAATCTATTGCCCCTTGTTGCTTTTGTGCCCCGTGAAATGAATAGGTGCTACACCTGTTTGTCTCCTCACCTCCTGGGGCCAAGCAGAGAGGATCCCCAGTCCTCCACTCTGCTTTCAGAGAAATCTCTTAGCTTATTAAAGATCTCTGCTGCTGGGGACAGGGCTGTTAATCTGAGTCCCTTGGAATTTGAGTCAGAGCTTCAGGGAATACCGAGCTAAAAAGCAAGATCTGCCCCGGCGTCTGCCTGACCCTGGGGGCTGGGGTGGGGAAGAGCTTTCTCCAGCAGTCGGCCTGGAGCAACATCCCCAATTGACGCTGATGCCACAGCTTCTGCGGTCACACCTTTATCAAGGCAGGCAGCTCCGAATTAAAGGTGATCAGCCCTAATTACAGCTGGCGCCACTGAAGCCCGTGGCCTGACAGCGGCAAATGTGGTTGTTATAAAGTTTGGTCCACCATGTCAGTGGCCTGTATAACTCATTTACGTCGGACTCGCCAAGCAGTTATTGATTTTTCTTCTGATGCAGGGAATAAATAAAACAAACTCTTCAATCACTCCTACAAGCCTTTCCACTTCGAGGTAGGTTGACAAGATTTCATATAAACTACTTTCTCCCTTTTCTAAGAGCCACTGACCATGTTGGTTAATATAAAGCTAAGGACTTTCCCTTTGCCTTCTCTGCTCCCTACAACACCCCATCCCCGCCCCCCTCCTTGCCTTAGGTTTCAGAGTTAACTGTTTTCTTTACATTATTATTTTAGGCATCTCAAAATGGATACGTGGTAGAAGGTTTCCAAATTGACATCTTCCTGTAGCCTCAACAGGAAAATGACCTCTCTACGATTTTTCTTATACTAAGTCACAGGGGTAGCGTTCAGCTGCTAGAAAGTGGGTCCTTGCCTTTTTTTTTTTTCCAGTAAAGAAGGTAAAAGGGACCCTGTGCTAGAGGTAAAGATGATGTAAAAGGAGTTGTCCTGTCTATGTAACAAAGGGGATGGCAGCTTTGGCCAAAGCCAGGCACAGACTTCTCATGAGGCACAATAGCATCTTTGCTCCTGCCAAGAAGAGGAAGGGGCGGAGAGGTTCCAAGATGGTGAGTGTGGCTCTGATCGGTGAGTGGTGTGGCCACTGGGTTCAGAGCTTCTAGAACCTAGACTGGCTCCGAGAGCCCTGTACCCGATGAGGATGCCACTACAGCAACAATGTGCGGGACACACTGACATTCCAATAAAACTTCTTTGGAGTGCTGGCCTGAGTTGGAAACAATTTCAGAGTTCAAAGGGGTCTGAGTATTTACATTTGCACTTGCCCGTCCAAACATAAGTACCCTTCCCTGCCATTCCAAATCAGGCGTTTTCACTGGCTGCTGGGTTTCTCCCCACTTGAAAAGAAACTCTGCTTTCCCATTTTCCTTCCTGTGAGCAGCTAATGATAGAGAATATCCTGTTCCCAAAAGGAAACTCCCCCCACCCCCCACCCCCCGGACTCCAGAGCTTCCTTTTTCACCCATCTGGCCCTCTCGTGGACTCCCCACACACCAGCCCCCTCCCCCCCCGCCCCCGCAGTCCCCTCCATGTCCTAGCTGCTCTTCTGAAGAATGGGGGCTTTACAGATAGGACTTGTGAGATGCTGTAATTCCAGCGGGAGCCTTCTTAAAAGTAGCTGTCGGCCAGCAGGCTAGGCCTCCAGATTAGCTGGCTTGCTCAGGAATGCTTGCAACACCCTCCTTTCAGAACGTGTCATCCTTGGGGAGAGGGTGGTGGGTACCGTGCAGCTGTTGCATGTAACTCACTCCCATACTCCCAGCTCCTGATGAAATGTTCGGCTCCGGAGAAGTGGAAGCCTCCAAGATTTGAGCTCAGAGTTCAGAATGCCTTTGGACCGTCTCCAAAACAACCCACTAGAAAAGGCACAACTTGGATGGCAGGACTGAAGGGCGCAAGGGCCAACTAAAGTGAACTCTGTGTGCCTGGGTGCATTTCTGAGCTCAAACACATGGAAACCCACCGAGCAAAGAGAAGAAATGATAGCAATCCTTCCTAGAGAGAGAGCGGACATTTTTTTCCCCCCCTCTTACAAGGGTTTGAATTTATTCTCCTGAAGGAAAGGCATATCATCTTCTTTCAGACATTGTTTTTAAAATTTGACCCATGATTCCTTCAGTCCCAGTGGAGTTTGAGGGCCCAGATAATTTCAGCGTTAAATAAGCTGTAATGACTATCATATGTACCCAGCCATAAACCTAGTATTAAAAATTATTCAGAAAAAAGTGGCATCTCTTCCTTTTTTAATTTACAATAACCATCCAGGTGGTTTTCTAAGGCCTCCTTTGCAAATTGCTTCCAGCGAACCTTCCGGTCACAGACCACGGCACACCCACGTGGTGTCATGCAGCATTCCCTTCAACTTGGGTGTCCTGTGTTTTCACAGTGGACAGAGGCTGAGGGGCTGTCTGGGTGAACCTGTGCAGCATGCATCCTAACTGTGTACTTGTGGGATTAGCTGGTTTAGATGGTTGAGCCTGCTAGAGCCAGATCCCAGCACTCCCAGGGAGAAAACGAGACTGATCAGCCCTTGGTTACTTCTGTCTTGTACCTACTGCAACTCTTACATCCCAGCCCTAGCACCAAGTGCCCTCAGGCAACTTGCTGACTTTTCTGTGTCCAAACCCACTTGTAAAGTTCTGAAGTGGCAACATTAAAAGGGTCTCAAACAAAGGAATGACTTTCTAATGGTGGAGGCACCAGGAAGCCTTAGGGGTAGGTATTGGGAGGTTATGAGAGCCCTTTGATCAGCCCTAAAATATTATCATTGATTCTGCCTCCTCATAGCAGTTTTGCCCTAACTTCTCCATCTTTAAAAAATATATGTCATTAAAAAAAAAAAACCCAAAGTACATGTCATTGTATCATTTGAACTTATCACAGTATCTGAAAGGCACCCAACAAATAAATATTTGTTTGTTGAATAAATGAATGAGTGAATGAATGAATATACTCCTCAGCTCAGGCATTACTTTTTCCATGAACACTTCAAGACTACTATGCTGGGATAGGACTGTCCATTCCTCTAGCTTCCCATGGCCTCCTGGACCAGATCTAATTCCAGCAATAAGCCAGTTCTGGAAGGTACCTTTTTCCATGCCTATCTTCCTCGTGAGCCACTAGCTTCTTCAGGGCAGAAATGGGGTTTACCCATCCATCCATCAGCACCCTGGCACCTAGCAAGCACCTGACTCACACACAGTAGGTCCTCAAGAAATGTGACTGGAGCTGGAGTGTTGGCAGCAGAGGCCGCTGCGTCTTCCTTGAATATTTTCCCTCCTAAAAGCCTTCTTTCCCTTTTGTATCCTTAGACTTTTTCTGTGGCTTCCTTGAGATCTGGAAACCAGAAAACCTGGAATAATGAGAAAAACCTAGGAGATCTTCTGGTTGGCCTTCTCCGTCCCTGCACTACGCCATTTCTCCTTGAAGGGCCTGAGATTCTTTTTGCTTCCCATTTCCTGGATCCAGGTGACAGCGATGCCAGAATGGGCACACTGAAGTTTTTATCAGGGCAGCTGACACGAGACTGTTTTCTCCAGTGTCCTATATGAAGCATCCAGGGGAGCTGAGACTTGAGGTAAAGGGAATGCATATTTTCCTATTGGTCGGAGTGTAAGGTGCCTTAAGGAAAGGGAGACTGCCCCCAGGACTCATTCCTCCCC